TTTATCGATTACAATTATTCGAAAGATGGAATAATTATACGTAATTGGAAACGGGTATTCGGATTCGCATCACTCCTTTTTCCTCATTTGTTCTGAAAAATTGTGTAAAGTACGAAAAAGAAATATTCCAAGTGTAATAAAAATAAAAACGTCGATCCTTATCTACGATCCAGTTGTTGCTTATCTAATTATCTTCAATTAGTGGAAAATTGATGAAAAGGTGAAACGAAATTGTCGCGTATGATATATATATATATAAAGAAAACGTGTTCGAGGCGAGCTATTCGAATTACGCAAGTGATTCTGAAATACCAGGAAGTCTTACTCGAATGGTATGCACAATCGTATCTCCTATCTCGTTTTCCGAATACGGAATAGGTAATGGCGTATAATCTCATCGTCGGAATCGGTCACTTTCAGACTTTTAGCCGAACGGATACTCGTTTCTCCCTTTCCTTTTGCAATCCTTAGCAATAATAACGCCTATCAACCACCGCTCGAATCACGCGTTATTATCACTTCTCTTTTTCTAAACTTTTCAACTCGACCGTATATTTCAACTTTTGTGTTATTTTAATAACAGTAGTAAAGCAAGATAAAGATTATTATTCTCCTTTTTTTAAAATTTTGAACCTCGACATATTCGACCTATTCGTAATCAATTTTTGTATTATTTTAATAGGAATAATAATGGAAAGAGATGAAGATATTTTTCGACAATTAATTCTGTAAATTTGATTTTTAGAGAAGAAAGTGGATTATTTTCTAGATATCTCGAGTTCGAAAAAATTAAAATTTCCTCGATGCAGAAAATTTTCAATAATTCGATCCCGTGGTTGCGCAACGAGGTTTCGCGACTTCTCTCCGCGACTCATACCGCGCGCCATTCGACAGGTTGGCATATCTTCCGATGACGCAACGAGCCGTGTAATAGCCGCCGCGTTAAAAATTTATCGGCCGAATCACAATGTTGCATCGACGGTTTGCAATCCACGATTCCTTTCGTATCTGTTCATCTCGTTCGAGGTGTTCGAAATCGTTCCTTCATCTCGAATTTCGAAAAAAGACGCGGGAAAATTATGGACTCGATTTGAAACGGGACGAGGAAAAAAAAAAAAATCTATTGACATTTATCGGCTGTTTAATAAATAAAAGGGGACGCAATAAAGCGCAACGTCGTCGTACGTGATTCGATACGATTCGACGTTTGCATTTCTAACGAAGCAATAATACCATCGTTTCGATATACCATCGAATCGTTTATTATGCGCGCTTCTTCGTCTCTTTCCAATCCTCGACAAAAAAAAACAAGAACTTGTCAAATCTTTTTCGTTTCCATATCGAAAGTTTAAAAATGTTTTTAAAACGAGATGGCGGATATTTTTTTAATTTATTTTCGATTTTAGTACTACTTACTTGAAGTATGAGCGTCTTGAGCTCTTGGTCGCTGAGGAAAGCTGGTTTGTAGTGGCCCTCCGTGTACGAGGTGACGGCGCCCAAAATGGTCTTCAAGTGTTGGACAGCCATCCTGAGCACGGTCAGCTTGTCGAGTTTGCGGGACATGGCGTGGCACATGGGCACCATTGCCGAAAGCTCGGTTATGTACGTGTTCATTTTGTCCCTTCTCCTTTTCTCGATCTCGCTGTGATTTTGCCTGGAAGAACAACGAAGGGGAAAGGGAAAGGGGAATTAGAATTTAGAATTCGAGCCGTTTTTCGAGATACACGTGATTTTGGAAATTCTGGGGATCCTTTTGAATAGAAATTTCTTCGAAACATTTTGGGAGCTTTTCTAGGAATTTTTTGGAAATTGTATAGGGATTTTTTTGCATCCAATCTTTTGGATGTACTTTAAGTAGAGACTTTTTTTCGAGATAGTGATAGATGTGGTTTTGGAAATTTTTAAGGGAAAAGGAAAGGATCCTTTGGCAATCAATGATTTTTAGTAGAAATTTCTTTTTTTGCATCCAATCTTTTGGATATACTTTAAATAGAGACTTTTTTTCGAGATAGGTGTTTTGGAAATTTTTAAGGGAAAAGGAAAGAATCCTTTGGCAACCAATGCAGATTTTAAGTAGAAATTTCTTCGAAACATTTTGGGAGCTTTTCTAGAAATTTTTTGGAAATTCTATAGGGACTTTTTGCGAATTTTTTGGATGTATTTTAGATAGAAACTTTTTTTCGAGATAGATGTGAAATTTTGGGTGAATGCTTTTTAAGGGAAAAGGAAAAGATCCTTTGGCAACCAAATGCAGATTTTTAGTAGAAATTTCAAAATATTTTGGAAGCTTTTCTAGGAATTTTTTGCGAATCATTTGAATGTACTTTGGTTAGTTTTTTTTTAAGATAAGTGAATCAGATTTTGGAAATTTTTAAGGGAAAAGGAAAGAATCCTTTGGCAACCAAAAGCAGATTTTTAGAAATTTCTTCAAAATATTTTGGAAGCTTTTCTAGAAATTTTTTACGAATCATTTGAATGTACTTTGGTTAGTTTTTTTTTAAGATAAGTGAATCAGATTTTGGAAATTTTTAAGGGAAAAGGAAAGAATCCTTTGGCAAGCAAATGCAGATTTTTAGTAGAAATTTCTTCAAAATATTTTGGAAGTTTTTCTAGGAATTTTTTGAAAATTTTATAGAAACTTTTTGCAAATTTTTTGGATATACTTTAGAGACTTTTTTTCGAGATAGATGTAAAATTTTGGGTGAATACTTTTTAAAGAAAAAGGAAAGGATCCTTTGCCAACCAATGAAGATTTTTACTAGAAATTTCTTCGAGAAACTTTTTTTGAAAACTATATAGAGACTTTGGATACAGACTCTAAGAGATTTTCTTTCTCGTTGATCCCCTTTTTTCATCATCCTCCTTTATAAAAGATACGTAATCGAAACGCGAGAAAAGGGAATACAGGAAAAAATTGCTGTAAAAATTGGAGAAGCGAAGATATCGAAGAGATGGCGAGTTAAACTTCTTCTCCTTCTCGAAGAAGAAGAACACGCGACGACCCAGCCGGAGGAGGGAGGGGAATCAATTATAAATAAAGGCGATTCAAGCTGATAAACGCCGCTTTTGTGAGCTGCGTCGCATCACGATTGTGATTTGACCGTGAGGAATTCGCATTCATGCCTCCGTGGCGATCAATTGGCCGGGCCGGAAGTCGCGGCTACGAGAAACTAGTTTCGATTTATTCGAGCCCAACCACAACCAACTATTACTCGCCCACTCTTTGTTAATCTGAACGTCATCAACGCGTCCAATTATCATTCTCTTCCTTCATCGCTTCGTTTTTTTAAAAAATATCTTAAGGAATCGGCGTTATTTTTCCGATTCGATGTAACCTCCCTCCCTTAATTCTTTCCTCTGAATATTGGCACAAGAGTCCAATTATTATTATTATTATCATCTCTCTAACCTTTCTTCTTTATTTCTTCCCGTTTTTTCCTTAAAATTCACATTGGCACATAAGTGCAATTATTATTCTCTTTCTCCATCCTTTCGTTTTTTAAAAAGATCTTAAAGGGATCGGCGTTATTTTTCGATTCGATGTAACCTCCCTTCCTTATTTCTTTAAAATTCTTCCTTAAAATCCACATTGGCACAAGAGTTCAATTATTATTATTATTATTATCTATCTAATCTTTCTCCTTTATTTCTTTTCCGTTTCTTCTTTAAAATGCAGATTGTCCAATTATTATTATTATTATCTTTCTTCATTGCTTCGTTTTTTAAAAGATTTTAAAAAGAGTTATCGAATTTTTCGATTCGATGTAACCTCCCTCCCTTATTTCTTTAAAATCCTTTCTTAAAATCCACAAGAGTCCAATTATTATTATTATTATTTTTTTTCATCGTTTCGTTTTTTAAAAAGATCTTAAAAAGAGTTATCGAATTTTTTCGATTCGATGTAACCTCCCTCCCTTATTTCTTTCCCTTAAAATCGACATTGGCACAGAGTTCAATTATTATTCTCTTTCTCCATCCTTTCGTTTTTTAAAAATATCTTAAAGAGATCGGCGTAATTTTTTCAAGATTTCAATTATTATTATTATTATTATCTTTCTCCATCGCTTCGTTTTTTAAAAAGATCTTAAAAAGAGTTAACGAATTTTCCGATTCGATGTAACCTCCCTCCCTTATTTCTTTCCCTTAAAATCGACATTGGCACAAGAGTTCAATTATTATTCTTTTTCTTCATCCTTTCCTTTTTTAAAAAGATCTTAAAAGGATCGGCGTAATTTTTTCGATCCTCCCTTATTTCTTTCCCTTAAAATCGACATTGGCACAAGATTTCAATTATTATTATTATTATTATTATCTTATCTTTCTCCATTGCTTCGTTTTTTAAAAAGATCTTAAAAAGAGTTAACGAATTTTCCAATTCGATGTAACCTCCCTCTCTTATTTCTTTCCCTTAAAATCCACATTGGCACAGAGTCCAATTATTATTCTCTTTCTCCATCCTTTCGTTTTTTAAAAAGATCTTAAAAAGAGTTAACGAATTTTCCGATTCGATGTAACCCCCCTCCCTTATTTCTTTCCCTTAAAAATCGACATTGGCGCAAGAGTAGATTGGATTAATGACGCGATCGACGAAGCCAGAGGAAGGAACGAAGGTGGGTCAAGGTGGCGAGCGTACCTTGGCAATAATACCTGACATAATACAACGCGTAACCGTTGACCAAGCTTTTAAAAACACGTTGATGCGGTTTCCTCCTTCGAATTGGAAACGGATCGCGGTTTCCACGATTCGATTATTGATTTCGATTCCTTCGAAATTGACGATCGATTTTTTTTTTTTTTTTATTATTATTATCACTTTCAATTGGTTATTATACGATGCTTACTTTTTACTGTCGTCGTTTGTGCGAACTGATTTGGCATCGTCTCCCGCGTCGTCCAATAAATCACTACCGTCGCTGGAACAGAAAGAAAATAGAATCGTTGTTAGGATGGGTTAGAGCATTTTTTACAGAGTATTCCAAATCGTAAATTTAACGTTTCGTTATATTTCGTGTATAGGAAATTATGGTTCCTTTTTTTTTTTTTTTTACTTTCGTTAGACTATGGGGAATAATGTAAATGTGAATAATAATTAAAGGAAGACCTACACGAGCGTTGAAACGTCAAGAAACACCAAGGGTATGTAACTAACGAATCAATTTCTTGGGTGGTGGTGGACCCCTTTGAAAATTTCACCAACTTTCCTCCTTCCCACTGCTTCGTAAGCTTCTCGAGACACGCTTAATTTTCACATTTTCTTTCTTTTTTTCCCCCCCCTCTCGGATAATATTCATTCTAAATTTAAGAGAAAATTTAATAACCTCATCCAATTATTTAAATCAAAAGCGATTGTGAAAACCTTGCTATAATTATCGTATCAGAATGTTACCGGAATAATTAATGTTGCACAGAATTTATATTTCAAATTAACAATTTAAAAAAGAAAAAAGAGTTGACTTCATCGAGTAATATTCCTACGTAAATTAATAAAAATATTTATACATATTCCATCTCACATTGTATATATAAGATACAAATTCAGGATTTGTTAGGAAGATAGGAGAAAGTTAGGGGAGAAAAATTTCGACGCGCTTCGAAAACTCGCTTCGAACTCGAAATTGGATAGATTCCGGTCAGGGAGGCCGTCGATTCAACCGAAGCTCGATTTCGACCGGGCCCCCTGAGAGAGAGAGAAAGCGAGAGAGAGAGAGAGAGAGAGAGAGAGAGA